TTGAAATCTGTTGGAGTATAGTTCTTTATAGTATTCCGATATTATCCTTTTAATTTCAGTTGGTTCTGTTGTGACATTACCCATTTCATTTCTTATTCATGTTATTTGTATTATTTCCCTTTTTCCCTTTGTTAAATTTGGCAGTGGTTTGCCAATTTTATTAATCTTTTCAAGAAACCAACTTCTAGTTTTGCTGATTTTTTCTGTTGTCTTTGTATTTTCTGTTTTATTGATTTCTGCTCGAATATTTATTATTTCTTGTGACTATTCTTAGGCTTTTTTTGCCGCCCTTTTTCTAATTGTTGGAGATGTTGGGTTAAGGTGTTGATTTTGCCTCACTCTTCTTTTCTGATGTGTGCATTTATTGCTATAACTTGACCTCTAATCACTGTTTTTGCTGTGTCCCAAAGATTTTGGCATGTTGCATTTTCATTTTTGTTTGATTCAAGGAATTTTTAAATTTCATTATTTATTTATTCTATTACCCAGTCATTTTTAAGGAAGTTATTACTCCATTTCCATGTGTTTGTTCCTTTTCAGTTGATCTTTCTAGTGTTGATTTCTAATTGTGTAGTATTGTGATCTGAGAAGATGCTTTGCAGTATTTCAGTGTTTTTAAATTTATTGAGGCCTGATTTGTGACCTAACATATGGTCTATCCTGGAGAATGTTCCATGTGCTGGAAAAAGAAAATGAATTATGCTGTTGTTGGGTGAAGTGCTTTGTAGACGTCTATAAGGTCAAGTTGGTGGGTTGTATTGTTTAGCTCCTCTGCATATTTGTTGAGTTTCTTTCCAGTTCTATCTTTCATTGAAAGTGGTGTATTAAAGTTTCCTACTATTACTGTGGAGTCATCTGTTTGTCTTTTCCATTTTGTTAAGGTCTGATTTATGTATTTTGGGGCTCTTTCATTGGTGCATATATATATTTATTATGGTTATGTCCTCTTGTTCAGTGGATCTTTGTATCATTATATAATGCTCTTCCTTGTCTCATATGCTGGTTTTTGTCTTAAAGTTAAAACTATTATAAAATAAATTTTTTGTCAGAAATTAATACTGCTACTCCTGCTCTTTTTGCTTGCCATTTGCTTGACATATCTTTTTCCAACTTCTGATTTTAGTCTGTTTTTCCTCTCTAAGGTGTATATCTTGTAGACAGCAAATTGATGGGGTGATGTTTTCTTAACCAGTCTGAAATTCTCCATCTCTTGAGTGGTGCATTTAACCCATTTACATTCAGTGTAATTATTGACAAGTATGAATTTTTTGCTGTCCTTTTGTTATGTGTTTTTTTGTGTTGTTACTGATTTCTTTGTTCCATGTAATTTTCTGTGCTGAGCTCATTCTGGTTATGAATCATGTTATCATTTTTCTTCATTGATATTTTTAGTATTTGCTAAATATTTGTGCTTGTCATCTATTTTATTTTGATGCAAAGGTTTATTATTTTTCTTTGAGGTTGTAATTTATAAGGCAATGAGATGCCTTATGGTTGTGATGTATAATTTTCTTCCCAAGTTTAGTATAGTCCATTCTATCTCAAAATTGTCTTGATTTCCTCACCATTTAAAAAGTTCTGTATCTACAGTTTTTTTTCTCTCTTTCTTTGTAGTTGTCCTTATTTGCCAATTGTTGTCTCTGGTTCCCTGTTTACAGTCTTGTAAGCTTATTTTCTTTGGATACTTCCATGACTGGGTTGGTTTCTGGGTTATGTCATCATATGTGTTAATGGCCACTTGTTGTTTGTTGTTGTTGGTTTTCAGCCCAAAGGACTCCCTTTAGTATCTCCTTTAAGGTTGGTCTGGTTTTAACAAATTCCCTTAATTTCTGCTTATCTGGAAATGTCCTAATTTCACCATTATATTTGAGGGACATTTTTCCTGGATATATAATTCTTGGTTGGAAATTTTTTCTTTTGGTGTTTTATATATACCATCCCAAATGTCTCCCTTTAGCATCTCTTGTAAGGTTGGTCTGGTTTTAACAAATTCCCTTAATTTCTGCTTATCTGGAAATGTCCTAATTTCACCATTATATTTGAGGGACAATTTTGCTGGGTATATAATTCTTGGTTGAAAATTTTTCTCTTTCAGGGTTTTATATATACCATCCCATTGTCTTCTCGCCTGCATGGTTTCTGCTGAGAAATCAGAGCTTATTCTTACTGGCTGTCCTTTGCAGGTAAATTTATGTTTTCCCGTGCAGCTTTCAAGATTCTTTTTCTTTGGTTTTGGTGAGTTTGATGATGATATCTTGGTGATTTTCTTTTGGTTTCTATCCTGTTGGTTTTTTGAATGGATATATTCTCATCTTTCATCATATTAGGGAAATTCTCTTCCAACAAAATTCAGCAATTTTCTCTGTAGTTTTATTTGTCTCTTCTTGTTCTGGAATTCCAATTACATGCAGGTTATTCATCTTGATGGTATCCCACATGAATCTTAGGCTTTCTTCATTATGTTTTGATCTTTTTTCTAATTGATCCCATACCAAAGTGGTATTGAGGTAATTGTCTTTAATCTCAGTAATTCTGTTTTCTGTTGATTTGATTCTACTCCTTTGCCCATTCAATGTGTTATCTGTTTCTGAAATTTTAGTATTAATCTTCTGGATTTCTGACTGTAGATTTTGTATCATTTCTGAATTTTCATTTATTTTGTCATTTTGTTCTTGTATTGTCTTCCTAAATTGTTCTAGGGTTTTATCTGTGTTTTTCTTAATTTTTTCAGTGTTTTCCTTAATCTGTCTCTTAATTTGTTGAAGGTACTAAATATGATTCTTTTGAATTTTTTATCAGGGAGTTCCAATGCTGCTGCTTCCTCAGGGATGTTTTCTGGGTCTGTATACTGGTCCCTTGTTACTAGTACTTTATCTTGCTTCTTTATATGGACTGTGATGGTCCATTGTCTCTGAGATACCATTGTATTTATATTTAATTGTATTGATTGTATTTATATTTAATTGGTGATTGTATGTTGGTGTGATTCACCGATTATTTTTCTTTGTTTTATTTTGATATATCTGAGTAACCAGGGTACTGTGCTCCTCTCTTCACTAGTTGGCAGCACTTATGCACTTAACCACGTATCTCCTGGTGCATGTGTTAGAGAGTGAGTGCACAGATTTCTGTTAGCTGTTTGTGATGAGAAGTTAAGGGTGAGTTGGGCTCATATTGGCTGTCATGTGTCATCGGCCAGTTGGTGTGGAAGCAAGTGGTGGCCCTCACTCAGTCTTGCTGTCTCCCACTCAGTTAGACAAAAACAACAATCAAAATATTCACCGAAAAAGTCAAGAGGACAGAAAACAACACATTAACTCCACAGGAGCAAACACCAAAAAGAAAAAAAAAGGGAAACAAATGAGAAGAAATATTTAAAGAAATGTTTTTAAAAGTTAAAAGAAATATAAAGAGGAAAAAAAAAAAAAACAGTATCTGGAGAGGTGGGAATAAGAGAAAAGAGCTAGAGTGAAAGAAAAACAAGGGATGGGAGGAACCAAAAGAAAGAAAAAACATAGGTACCAGGAAAGGAAAGAGAAAAAAAACAAAAAACTAGAAGTGAGGAAGGCATAAAAGAAAGAATAAAAATATAAAGGAAGAAAAAAAGAATTTAAAACAATTTTTAAAAAATTGAGGCGAGGTGGTGAGGCAGGGCACCCTGACTTTGTTAGAGCATACAGATTGGGATGGAATTCCTGCCAGTCCAGAAGGTGAGGAGAGGTGGGAGGTGGCCACACCTCCATACACCAAGTGAGTGTGCACTGTAAGAGTAACAAGGGAAATACAGCAGCTTTCCAGTTGTCAGCCCCCAGTGTGGTTGCCCGTGCTGTCCTCAGCAAGCAGAGACTATTCTTAGGTCACTGAGATCTGATTGCTGCCACTTTAAATAATCAAAATGGCTTCACCCTTTTGACCACCGAAACACCACAACTCAGTTTGTCCCCTTCTTTGCTGTTTCCCTTTTTTAGTCACCAGCCACCAGTATAGTTGTCCATGCAGACCTTGACAACCAGGGTCGATTTTTATGTTACTAGCCCAGGTCCTAACAACACTTGTAAATATTCAAACTGGCCCCACCATCAGGATAGCTGATAGCCCATAGCTTCTTTTGTCTCCTTATTCACTGTTTTCACTCAGGTTCTCTTACTAGTTGGTATTTAATCCACTTCCGTAGTCTTCCTTTCAAAGCTCATGACCCCAGAATTACCTTCTGTGTCTGTGTCAATTGGTTTCTCTTTTCTTTGTTGAAGAGGGTCGGTGTAGCTTGTCTGTGTATTCTACCTTCTTACTGGAGGTCTCCATGACAGAACCTTTTGAGGTATATACCACCATTGGTTGCAATGGTGGTATATACTATATACATTTATCAAGATTCATAAAACTATGTACTAAAAAGGATAAATTTTATCATAAGTAAATTAATCCAGGCTTTAAGATGATTTTTAAAACAGGTCTTGTTTTGCATTGATTAGTTTTCTTTTTGAGGTGTATGAATCTGTTGTTTTTAGACTCTACGCTAAGTTATGTAAAAGTTTCCATTTTAAAAGAATGTAAACAACAACAAAAAAAAAACCCTTGTAATCAAACTTAGTTGTCCTGGGTACTTTATTTTGCAATTGTCTGATAAAAACAAGTGCAACAGTTCAAGAATAGGCATTGATTCATAACATTGAAGTATGGTATGAGAGGATTTATTTGAGAATAATGAAGCTATTTCTTATGGTCTGCATTGTTATCATTGTTTATTTGTAAACAGTCGTTTCTGCATACTTTTTCTAGCTTATTTATTTATTTTTTATTAAGCCATCAGAAGGTTTGGTTTTAAAGTGTTTCATTTTCATGTAACTGTTTTGAATTAGAGTAGAAAACATAAAAGGATAGCATATAATCAGTTAAAAAGAAAAGGAAATTATTGTTTGCTTATACTATAGAATAGTTCTAGAATATAGATTTTTGCATTGAGAAATTTTAATACTTTTTTTTCTTCTAACTTCCCAAAGGTGAGGAAGAAAATGCTTCCCGTTCTTCAGGATGGGCATCCTATCTGCATAGTTGGTCTGGACTTCGATAGATTGATGGAAGGAAATGGGTTATTTATTAACTAAATAGAATCCACTTGGCAAAAAAATGATTCAAGTATATTTGTGTCATCGTTTTGTCAAAAAATGTGTGTATATATTTATATCTACATATATTTGTACATATGTATGACACGTATATTGAAAAGTCTCAGCTTGAAGTATAGCAGTTTGGAGTATTGATACCAGTCCCCAGTCCTTTGATTCAATACCACAAAGACCATTTCTGTGATGTTCCCTAGACGTTGCAGAATTAAAACATGAAGAATGAATCCATTCCCCTCTTTCACTGTAACCTCAGGACCCATCTATTTCTTGGCAGTACTGTGAATTTTGAAGTTAAAACTACATTTCAGTAGTATAACAACTGAAATTTAGGCTTTGAAAATAACATTACAAGACTATTTATTGCAAAATCAGATTGTTATCATTTGTTAGATAAAATTTGGTGATTAGAGTATGAAGGAAAATGTTTATTGGTAAGTTGATCATTTTGTTTATTAAGGGACTAAAGATGCTACAGTTAATTATGAGGCTAAGTTAAAGTAAAATTTTATTTAGTTATTAGCTTTAAAATGTACTTTAAAACATATGAACTGTTCTCTTTTTCTTTGAAGTCAAAACTCATTATGTTGTCAGAAGCCTTAGTAGTGGCTGCTATAGCCCTGAATAGATGGGACCACTGCGTTATGTTGGGGGTGATTTCATGGTGTCTTTCCAGGCTTTTGCTATGGTAACAGTACTGGTAAGCCATGATTCTGTTCAGGAAATTTTTTTAAGCCTCCAAATAAAAACCTGTCAGAACAGTGACTGTGTTATTCAGCATTGTACCTAAGTGTGACACTGGCACTTCCTATGTTTAGCATATAGTGTTGTTCCATAAGCATTCCATCATTGGATTTCAGAAAGGCACCTAAAATCAGTGCTACATTTTCACAGTTCTTGTGAATAACCATAAATAGTGCTATTACTTGCCTTTTACACCTCTGACTATATTTTATTGACTAGATCAAAATTGTGCTCTTAAATCATAAATTTGAGACTTCTATTTTAATATTTATTTCATACTAAAGCCCTGCATGATATGTTCTATGAAGTTCTCCAAAGCCTTCCAATTTATACTCTAATTTTTCATTCTCAGTTGGAGAACTAGCTTTGCACTTTGGTTACTCAGAACATTGGTTTCCAGTTTAGTTTAACTAAAATTTGCTGCTGACATGTTGAGTTTGTTCTTTAAAAACTATCTTCTACTAAAAGTCTTTCTTTTTAGAAGAACAAACCTTAACTAGTGAATGTTCTACTGAAAATATATCTATTTCAAAGCTGACATTTAAAAAGTTTAGTTTTTCTTACTTTATAAACTGTGAATATGAGAATGCCAGCAGCATACAATGTAACTTTACTAGTATTTAAAGAAATTTCACTTTCTCTGAGTCTAGGCTTTTTGAAGTCTATAAAAATTTGTTTTGAAATAAAATCGCTACCTATGAATGTAATAATAAAAATACCTTTTGCATGATAAAAGAATTGTTACTTTAATTACAAAAAGCATATTCTTTCATGGTTTCAGCAATGAAGAAATGTAATGATTATTTTAATATTGCTATTAAACATGTTTCACTGTATCACTGTATGCTATATTTTTATGACTTTTTTCTGTTAGATAGATACTATCTGGGGGGGGTTAAATCAATTTGTGGATTTCAGTTACAGATCCCTTTACTACTGTCCTTATATGTCTGAGGCCTAGAATATTATATTAGATGCTGGAGAGATTATAGATGGCTGCTTAGGTATGTGATACATGAACCATGGTGGTTGCCATGGCTGACATCCTCCTTCCAGATGAAACCAAATGCAACCTAGACCTTTCTTTGGACCAAGATAGACATTGATTCAACCACAGTGAGGTACCTGGCTGAAACTGCCAGCCTGACAGTGGCAGCAAGTGAACTACTCTGTTCAGTTAGAGGCAGAGGTTATTACCTTTTGGGGGAATATGCACTGGAAAATGGGGAGAGGCAAAGCAAAGAGAGAAGTACAGATACCGTGAGGAAGAAAAACCAAACAGACCCTGAGAAAGGAAGGGGAAGAGCAGCTGCCATAGAGTGGCCTCTGCTCCAAAGATGCTCTCCAACTCCAGGTCTGTGCCACTGGGATGTTTACATAAGCTTTTTGGCCCTGAAGAGCTGAATTCATATAGTGCCAGAGGATGGGCACTGAAGTGTGATCTCAAGTTCCTAGCCCCGCTCTGATTTCAGGCATCCATTGTACACAGCGAGCTTTGCTTGTGCTCTAAGTCTTTAAGATTTATTGAAAATTATATTCTTTTGAACAAACTGGCAAAGCTAAGGCTTCCTAAGGCATACAGTACTTTATGTCCTTTTTAAACTTCATTTTAACTGATGGTGTAGCTGGAGATGTATTGAGTGTGAAGGTTCCTATAAAGACACATTTTAGTATCTGGTGAATGGCAAGGCAAGCACTTGGGTCATATGATGAAACTCTAATACGGTGATCTCCTCTTGGTCTATTTTGATTAAGTATCAGAAAAGCCACTATTGCATCAAAATTAACACAAACCAAGAAAACAGAACCTGATAAAACTTTGCAGATATCTCTGTGTGTGTGTGTGTGTGAGAGAGAGAGAGAGAGAGATTTGGGTGAAGATTTATAGAGCAGATTAACTTTCCATACAACAGTTCACATACACTTTGTCTCATGACATTGACCACAGTTTACCACAATGCAACAGCTCCCCTCTCACTTCCTCCCCATAGTTACCCCTTCCCAGTGTCCATCCCTCCATGCACTCCTGCCCCCTGAGCTGTCTCTCTGTACATAAGCAGCCCTTCTTTCTCCCATGATTGTTCTCTCCAAGGAGTGTATCTACCTCAGGTAAATGTTCAACTCATATGCCTGTCATTTGTTTGGCTGGAAACCACAGGTGTGGGTTCAATTCCAGACCTGAAGGGCAGCTAGGGGCCATAGTCTCAGTGGTTCCACCAGGCTCTATCGGACCAGCAAACCTAGTCCCCCCTCCCTTTTTTTTCCTCCAAATGATTTTGAGTTTTGTCCATACTGTTCTCCCTCTCTATCAAGGATCTCCTACATAGATCCCCTTCCAAGTGGGTGACAGTGGTAGCCGGGCACCATATAGTTCTTCTGGTCTCATACTTGTATAGGTTGCATATTGGATGGTGTACCAGTCGCTAGGACTGATTGTTTCCATTAATTTTGGTTTTCTTCTTTCTTCTTTGCTCTTGACAAGGAGAGACCCATTGTTGCATCTAGATGGCAGCTTGCTAGCTTTTAAGATCCCAGTCACTACTTGCCAAAATAGGAGGTGCAACAATGTTTTGTATAGTATGTTATGCCAATTGAGCTTGATGTCCCCTGCGACTATGGTCCCAAGCCCTCAGGTTCAACTACTCAGTCCCTCTGGATAGCTGGCTATGACCAAACAGTGACCCCAACCTTGCCCCTTGTCAGCTCTGCTATACACCTGGGAATTCTGATCATTCACATAAACTTATAGGACCATTGTCTGCCAACCCTATACATGTTCTTGGATACACTCCCCATTTCATAGACATACCTAATAGTTCAGCCTGTCCACCCATCTATCCACCCGTATACCCATGTTTGCTTTCACTGACAACACAGTACTGTATGTGCAAAAGGGTTCATCTTTGTTGTCTGTACTTCCCCTGTACCTCTCTATGTCTTTCTCATCCTCAGTGCTGCCATATGGGTTGCTCACATTTGGTACATTGCCCTTCTCTTCACCCAAATCAATACTTACCTCTTTCTATCTAACAGCGTTCCCTCCCCTCCCCTCCCATCCCTGGTAACCAACAAAGAAAATTTCCTTCTATAGGTAAACCTTTCCTTAACATTTACTATAACAGACTAGTACAATATTTGTCCTTTTGTGATTGACTTAATTCACTCAGCATAATGTCCTCCAAGTTCATCCACATTATGCGGTGTTTTGCAGATTCTACATTATTCTTTAGCATTGCATAGTTTCCATTGTGTGTATGGACACAGATATCTTTGAGCTAATTCTTAGCTGTGGGTATTAATGAGCATTTGGTTATTTGTATAGAAGTTATGTTTAGAGGGGAAATATGCATTTAGAATGTGATTACATGAAAAAGTCAAATTGTGACCTTCAAATTACCTTGTTTTAATATAGGGTTGTGTGAGTAGAATATTGTAACGAATAAGGAAATACTTTTTCAGCTTGAGTTACCGTTTCCCTTTGAAAATGGGCTCACTGTCAACCCATGTACTGATTAGCTCTTCAGAGGTCTGCCCAGTATTTAAGATGACAACAATCCCCTCAACCCTCACCTTTCTCCACTAATGGATGCTCCACTGCCATACACAGGGGCAGGTAGGCCCCAGCCATAACCAACTAAACCAAATATACACACCTGACCCAAGGACAGTCAATTAGGTTCTCTCTTGGAACTAAGGTCAAGTAAGTATCTTCCTTTGACTACAATATGACATTCCAGTGCAACTCTGGAATGGCCAGAATGAGCAGAGAAAGCCAGTCATCAGAATGCAAAGAATAACCTTTCTAAACTGACATACTTGGATAAATTAAAAAAGAAAACGGGTTAAGAATTCTAATGGCATTTGGTTCTATTTCTAATCCTGAGATTCAGGTACGCTGGGTTCTGTTCAATAATCCCTGCATCCTCATGGTAAATTTCCTACACATGCCAGTCTCCCTTCCTCCTTCATCAGTTTAGCTTGAGTTTGTTTCTGTTACTTCAGTTCAAAGAATTCTTCTACCAGCCTCTCCAGCATTGGGAAGGATCAAAGTATCAGGTATTATGTTGTTAGGTACTATTGAGTCAGGTCAAACTCATAGCTACCCTTTGTACTACATAAGGGTCGCTGGTCCTATGCCATCCTCGAAATCAGTGGTAAGTGTGAGCCATTGTTGCAGTCTCCATGTCAGTCCATCACATTGAGGGTCTTCTTTTTTATTGACCCTCTACTTTACCAAGCATTATGTCCTCCAGGCACTGGTCCATCGTAATAATATGTCCAAAAGTATGTGAAACTTTATCTCACCATCCTCACTTCTAAGGTTCATTTTGGCTGTACTTCTTCCAAGAGAAGTTTGTTTGTTCTTATGGCACTTCATGGCATTCAAAAATCTCTGCCAACAGCATAATTCAAAGACATCAGTTCTTCAGTCTTATTCATTATCCAGCTTTCGCACGCAGATTAGGTGTTTGAATATAGCATGGCTTGGGACAGGCACACTTTAGTCCTCAAAGTGACATCTTTTGCAGCAGCTTTGCCCAATACAGTTTATCAATTGATTTCTTGACTGCTGCTGCCATGGGTGTTGAGTGTGGAGCTAAGTAAAATGAA